TGAGAAACAAGATTAAAATTAATTGGCCTTACTACATTGCAAGTAGGATTTACGCTTTAAGGGACTCAGATCGTGGTACAACTCTCTCTTATGGGTCAGTTATTCAAGAGTTCCTAACTAGTACTAAAGTTGCACTTCCGGCATTTCCGTATAAATCGCTCACTTTTGACCAAGAGTTTTGTCATAAAACTCTTACCATGATGGGTTATATCTGGCTCCATGATGAACAGCGATACAAATTTGTTGTTAAAGCAACTACTTCCCGGGTAGAAGACTCCGATGAGAGTAAGGAGGAAAGTGAAGAGGATGAAGAAGAAGAAGAAGAAGAAGAAGAACAAAAACAACAACAACAAGAGGAGAAAGATGATCGATAACCAATGGAGGTTGACGATCAAATATATGAGGATTGGGTTCAACATACACCATCCACAGAAAATAGTAATGACCAAGGTTGGAGTCAGTGGCAACACACCGGGTGGACAACAATGCGTGAATACTATCAGCCTTCACATTGGGGCTATGAAGAGGCAACGAATCCCCCGCAGCCACAGTCTTCAGAGCTTCTAGATATGATGAGGGACATCCAGTTAGAGCAACGTACCTTCATGAATGCTCAGGATGAGCGGTTCGCCCAAATTCAAAAACAATTCGAGACATACACTGAAAGATTCAACACCTTCTCCTCGAATATCAATGAATGGTTAGATGCTCTAGTTAGATCGACTGAAAATCAGGAGCAGGCCATTTCACACAGCCTCAATACTTTGAACAGTGTTGTTTTGGAATTTACCGACATGGCAGATCTGTATCGTGGAAGAGGCCAACACTTCAGGGGGAGGGGATATTGAAGCCTCTACATTGAAGCATCCTTGAATTTCATCCTTTTTATGTTGTCTTGTTATTTTGCATTGTATTAAATAATTTCTAATTATGACAATGCTTTTCTTTTCTGAATGCTTTATGACTTCCTGAGCACTAATTGTTATGTGTTTTATTGATATATGGTTTACTTATCTATTCGTCTCTTGATCATTGACGTTATCATGTGTGGATAATTGTTCATGTTGATTGTTACCTGTTGTAAATTCTATTTGATTTGAGCTTTTATTTCTTAACATATCTCTCTTTCTTTTTAATGTTGTCAAAGGGGGAGAAGAGTGTGCCAAGATAATAGTAAAAACTATGAGAGTTACAAATGAAAGACGTTGCAAATAGAGGCATCAAGCAAGGGGGAGGTTAATACCGCACATCAAACAAGCCAGTTTCACATGTTTTTCCATCATCAAAAAGGGGGAGTATGTGAGGACAAAGCCTCATATACTATACATGTGTGTTTAGATGATGTCAAAACGCAACCACATGGAAGAATCGGTACTTGGCATTATCACCATAAGGCATAAGCATATCTTATCCCGTACGTCTCATTTGCTTGCATGTTGTGTCATCCAATTAGCATCATTTGAGTCAAACATCATTGGTGGATTATGTGTTGCATCTAGAAGTGTCAAAAACATAAAAATAGGCATTTTTGCAAAATACAGGTCTTTGAGTCGACCACTCATTTTGCTTCGGTCGACTCATAGAAGGTGTCTACAAAGTGTATTTCCCACGGGTTGGTGCACGTCGACCTCCGGTCGACGCATACTGATTGTTATTTCTGTTTGTCTAAAAATAAAGAATTTGCGTCGATGCATGGTCCTGTTTTGGTCGACGCATAGCCTGTTACTTTGCATAATCTGTTCTGTCCGGGGAGTTCCGGTCGACCACTCCTTTTTGTATGGTCGACTGTTCGTTGTCTTTTAGCATAATTCTGGTCTTTCTACTTATTTCGAAAAGTGGTTTTGTCTGTTATTTTTTGGCATACTATAAATAGGAAGTTGCTCATTTTCATCAACAACAATTGAATCAATTGCAAAACAAGAAAAGTGAAAGAGGTGCCATTAGTTACCATCATCTTCATCTTCTACATTTCATACCACAACAATCACACATAATAATCTTTGTTGTGCATTATGGTTTGTTTGAAGTGATAACGTTCGAAGCCGTTGATTGGGAATCCGGTTCGGGTTAAGTTTTTGGCAGATTTTTCTTAAATAAAACCTTGAGGGTTTTGCCCTCTAAGACTCACTGAATTTGGGGGGGTTTTTGGTACGAATCTTCTCAACATATATTCAGTTGAGCGAAGGTGATCGAGGAGCGGTGGGTTCTGTTGATCTAGTAGCGGGAATCGGTGAATTGTGAAGGAGAGGTTCAGGTTCGATTAGCAAGTGTTTGATATCAGTTGGGTTGGGGTTTGAAAATGCAAGGTTGTTTAACCAAGGAGTTGTAATCGGAGGTTCATACACAAGCTATCGAGGACTTGATTCGACTCGAATCAAGGGACAAGAAGAGAAAGCATATTCAACAACAAGGGAGTTTGTTTTTTCATTTGCTATTCCATTCTTGTATAAACGATTCAACAACAAGTTACATTTATATTATACGAGCTCAATTCTAGTATTAGAATTGAGGGCAGACGTACCCCAAAGCGAGGACGGCGGGGGAACTGCCTCAACAAATCTTTGTGCCTTTTACTTTCCGCATTTTCATTTTGCTTAATATTTGCGTGAATTTCGTTCAAACAATAATATCGAATTAAGGACTGTTGAGTAAGTGCTAAAGTAATTTTGACTATAGTACAATAGTTTATAGTACAAGGAAACCAGTACTACTTACTCAAAGCCGAAATCACTTTGAATGCTCCGCACGCCAAATGTTTGATAAATTGTCTGAACCAAAATTCTCTTGTGCTGTCCAATTATTTTGTTGGCATATTAAGGCATTGGAACTAGTCATACCAAGTAGTGATATAAATCAATTGATAGTGTGACTAGCATGGTGATTCTCATTTCTCATTATCAATTTCCAAAGGCTAGACGCATATCCGATCTTCTAGTAACGGTTCGTTATAGACTGTAATTTTTCCACGGCCACTTCCGCATTTTAAACAATTTTTTAAAAAACAATTTTATTGATAGCGCCAACTTATTTTTTAATAAGGGATCTATTCAACCCCCTTCTAGATCCGTGCCATCGTCTAACATCCTTCACAATCAATCGTAAAACAACAATCAAACCCAACAGATAACGCAACCCCTCAATTTTATTTGCATTACTTATTGTTTCAAATAGAAATAAAACACCCAATTTATAACTTGGGATGAGGTATTTTAAGTTAGTAACTGCACTCGGGTTACCCAATCCCCAGCAGTTCCAACTCATTACATTCATTTTTCTTAGCAGTCCTAATTAACAGCGCCCGCCATTACAAATTTGACATCAGAAACAGAAGTAGTTTTCATGGTCATGTCAATTCTAGCAGCTACTATACTCCCAGCAACATCCACTACCATAAAATCCTTCACAGTTTTTGTCTTCAGACCAGTATCCGCCTCTGTAGCAAAACCTTCGTCCATACGAATCCTTTTTTTCATTATTGGTTGCTTAAGCTATGTAGTTCCTTCTCCAGCAGCTTATCATTCTTTGAATGAGTTTTGCGCCTAGCTTGATTTTCCATGGAGACTTTGTTAACAGTGAGTTTGTTGTTGTTCACTCCTGCAATACTCCTTTTAATTTCTGTGAGCAGTCTTTTTAATTCAAAATCAGAAGTTTCTTTTCTTTTAAAGTTAAACCTTGCGTTGATTTTCCCATAAACTCATTGTTCTCTTTCCGCATCAGCATTAATAGCATTCTTCGCTCCCACACTTCCTAACATCATTTGTTGTCCAGCTTTAATGTATTCCATGAGTTGATAATTGTTATTGTCTCCTTGACTGTCATGCTTTGACATAACTTCCCCCACTCCATTTGATGACTTTTTTACTGTAGTGCCCTAGTTTGAAATGCTAAATACCATACTACCTTACTTTCAAAACAAAAATCTGAGATGCCCTAGTTTCCCTACATGCTCGTCCACTCAAGTGGCGAGCAGTTGAACATTATTTGGTGGTCAAGGTGCTCGTCCACTCAAGTGGCGAGCACGTGTAGTTTTTATTTTTATTTTTATCTTTCATATTTGTATAATATTTAATTAATGAAAATAATAATTTTGAATATTAAAAACATATTATATTAATTTAATAATTATACACTAATTAAAAATATTTAAAAAATATTATATATCATATTATTATAATGTTTAATTAATTATAATAATTATTTTTCTATAAATAGATTGAGTTCAATCGTAATATTTTTCTATAAATAGATTAATGCGCATCAACATTGATTGTCGCAACCACAGTTCTGAAATTCCACTGTGGATCTAGGTAAACACTGATTTTTTTCTTATAGAAAATAAGAGCTCAGACAAACATTTTTGAAAAACGAAACACCGAGCACGAGTGATTTGTGTTGATGCGCATTAATCTATTTATAGAAAAATATTACGTTTGAACTCGGTCATTAATCTATTTCTAGAAAAATATTACGTTTGAACTCGATCTATTTATAGAAAAATAATTATTATAATTAATTAAACATTATAATAATATGATATATAATATTTTTTTAATATTTTTAATTAGTATATAATTATTAAATTAATATAATATGTTTTTAATATTCAAAATTATTATTTTCATTAATTAAACATTATAAAAATATGAAAGATTAAAAAAATACACGTGCTCGCCACTTGAGTGGACGAGCACCTTCATAAGAAAAAACAACTCATGAGCTCACCACTTAAGTGGACGAGTATGTCCTGCAGTTAGGACATTCTTATGTTTTTTTTCAAAGTAGGATAGTATGATATTTAGCCTTTCAAACTAGGGTATTACAGTAAAAAAAATTCTCATTTAATTGCATTTGAAAATGTGAGACAGGAATATTAATAGTATTGTTAGTTATCAATTCATTGTCCTTACTAGCATTTGTGACAATTAAAGCCTTGTTTTTCGCTGCAGTAAATGTACCAGCTGCCAATTTGAAATTTCTCTCTCTCTCTCTCTCGTGTGCACTTACGTCGGTTTTTCTGCAGCATTAAAGGAAAGTTGCGCTATAGCATGTTTTGCCAGGTCCATTGCAACATTGAATTGACTCGCTGGGCCCCTCTCGCTGAAAACTACTTGCTTTGTCAATAAGGAAGCAAGCTCAGAGTCGACAGGTGTAACCAATTCAAAATTAGTGTTGACCGAACTGTTGTTTCCATTACCATTTTCTCTTTGTTGGATAGCAACATCGTTACTTTTTCCAATTATAGTAAGTGTTTGACTAAAAGGGATCCAACTCTTGGTACCTTTGCATTGACTCTCCTTCATCTCATCAAATTTGAAAGAAAAAAAGCAAACGTTTAGTACTAAATGCTCTTCAATAACCTCTTTCACATTTTCAAAATTCAAACCTTTAGCTTTAAAAGTTTGTCCATCAGTTACGTTACTACCATTAATTTCATCAGCATAGTCATTACTCCTACTGCCTCCGGTGCCACGACCACCACCTTCTTGGTTCCGGCCACCTCTCAACCACCTGTTCGTGTTTTTATTTCCGCCATAACCTTCAACTTCAGCATGCACAAAATTTCCCCAGCCTCTCATGTCTTCACAGCTGCTAGCACTGACTTTCTTATGGCATAAATTATTTGTGTGACCAATGGTGCCACAAAGAAAGCAAAAAATTCCAAGCTTTTCGTATTTGAAGAATACATGAACATGTTCACCTTCTAGACGATCAAAGGACCAACTCTTTTTGAGCGGTTCTTGGATGTTGATAGCTACTCGGATTCGCATGTATTTTCTCCATGTGCCAAAGTTATCTTGTTCATCGTACGCGATAAATTTGCCGATGTGATTTCCTATGAGTATGCTGACATTTTCACACATGAATTCAAATGGGAGCTGATGAATTTGGACCCAAATTTCAGCTTCATTCATCAGTACAACGAGGAGCTCCTCCCTGAACTTTAGTTTTTGCAAAACCAACATGTAGGTTTCGAATAACCAAGGCCCTCCTTAATACACTTTTTCCATGTCTCAGGCATGAAAAATTGGAATAGAAATTTATTCTCCCTATCTTTGAAATAGCTACACCTAAGAGTGGCAATTGGATCCATTAAAGCAAAATCCATATAATTCATCAATTAAAAAATTCATCTAATCCATCCACCACATAAAAAATAAGTTAATAGATTGGATTAAATCCATCCATTTATATGTATGAATTGATTCAATCCATCCTACATATTTTAACGATCCGATGGATTATTTTTATTTCCGTTAGATTTTTTTTTAACAATCCAACTGGATCTTTTTTCGGAAAAAACGATTATTTTTTCAAAATAAAAAATCGATTATACTGTCTGAAAAAAACCGATTTTTTTTCCAAAAAAAAAAACTAATTTTTTTCCAAAAAAAACTGACTTTTTTTCTGAAAAAACAAAATCGATTTTTTTTAATTAAAATATCGACTTTTTGGAAAACACAAAAAAATTCGAATTTTCTCAAAAAAAAACTGATTTTTTTTTGAAAAAAAACTGATTTTTTTCGAAAATTAAAATATCAATTTTTTAAAAAATACAAAAAATCAAATTTTTCCAAAAAAAATAATTTTTTTCGAAAAAAGAACCAATTTTTTTTTAAAAGTTAAATAACACAAAAAGTCAATTTTTCCCAAAAAAATAAATTGATTTTTTTCGAAAATACAAAAAATCAATTTTTTATCTCGAAAATACAAAAAAAAAATTCTTTAGAAAATAAATTTTTTTAAAATACAAAAAATTCAATTTTTTCATGAATATATTAAAAATTAAATTTAGATACAAAAAAAGAATTTTTCAAAAATAAAATAAAATTGATTTTTTTTACAAAAAATACATTTGTTTTTTCAAAATAAAAAAAATAGTTGGATGGATGGATTGGATGAATTTTATTCTTAACGGATGGATTGAATTGGATAATTTAAAGATAATTTTAGTGGATTGTTAATGGACTAATGGATTGTTTTGATCCATCTATTAACAATCCACATCCATCCATTTTGCCACCCTAGCTACACCTTATCCTGATTGCCAAAGTTGGACGAGCTTATCCTTCATCGCATTGAAGCCAGTCGGTTTGTTGGTCAACAGAGATCCGACGAGGCACAAATCAAGGAGATCTTCAGGTGCTAGCATGGAGTAATCGAAGTTGATTCGATCATTTTCAGCATTTTCGGGAACATTGGGATGCTCCATTATGATATTACTAACAAGAAACCAAAAGAACAAGCAGTGATTTGTCTATTAGCATAATGCATAAGTTGATTATATTTGCTTTGCATGCCCCTTGAATTTAAACTGGTCTTGAAGGAACAATAACTTCGCAGATAGTCAACCAAATTAAAAACTTTGATTCTGTTTGTGAGTTTGATTCAACTTTGATTCTGTTTGTGAGTCTAATTCTTGTGTCTCTGCTGTTGGCAAAATCTCCACGCCAAAAGATATTGCATATACTCCCAGAATCACTCCACTTTGATTGCTGCAGTATTCCTATTGTTCTCCAAATCACAAAAAATTGCCATGTATGGTCAATCCCTATCCTCCCAGTTTTCTATGTGTTGATATTACTCTCCTTTTCTTTTTCCTCTACCAGCATAACCTAGACACATAAATCCACAAATATCCTCCATGTTATGAACTCTTCTATCACCATCTTACCAGGATCATCCATAGTGGACATCATAACCTAGACACGTAAATCCACAAATATCCTCCATGTTATGAACTCTTCTATCACCATCTTACCAGGATCATCCATAGTGGTGTTTCCGTTGAAAATCGGAAAACAACCGCTGATCTTCCAAATCTAACTTTGGTGACTCACAGGATCGATCAGATTAATCCTAGGACATGTGCTAAAGGTTTATTCTCGTTAATTCTATCTAAGTTTCACACTCTGGCAAGGTTGCAATAAAGGAATCTAAAAGGAATATCTATTCGACTAAGAAGACAAGATAAAAGATTAAGTTTTTAGTAAAGAAAAGAAAAAAAAGATGTTTATTTGGAGAAGAAAGATTAAGGACGAAGAGAAGGGACTTGTATAAAGAAGGAAGAAAGGAGAAGGAAGAGGGGTGCAAGGAAAATAAAAAGACTTGGTAAAGTTTAAAGCAAGTAAAGTAAATTTCATTAAGATAAAAGATGGTGTGTTTACATCACGTACATTCTCTGTAATACTCGCTTTCTCTACGCTCGGATACTTGGAGTAATTCTAAAAGTGATTTGTACAATAGTAAATTACAACAAACCTTATTTCATGTCTAAGACTCCATATTTATAATAGTAAAAAATAACTACTAATAACTTCCAACATCACCATCTTTCGCCATTTGTCACAATGCATGGATCCGCTGCTTATAAGGTGCCATGTGTCCTCCTAGCCACTTGGCGAACGAAATTGTTCCCTCCAAGTTTTTGAATTTCAAATCTTCAATAAATCAGCCAACAGTAAACGGTCGAAGCCCTTGTGGTTTCTCTGCAATCCTAGTGAGTGCTTCGACTACTTCCTTTAGCTGCCTCACGCCTTTCGACCAACCTTTGCTTTCAACCTGCTTTTAATGTTTCTCCTTAGATTTCTTTATTTTGCAAGAGGCGTCGAATTTAGGAGCTAACAAATTGCCCCCCAAAAATGTCTTTTCGATCTTTGATGTGGAAAAGCACATTTTTTGACAACATAAGATTTCGACGCCGTTCACATTCCTCACACGTGTCAGCCGATACTCTTTCACCCAATACATGTCTGAGAAGGTGAAAAGGGAAGAAAGAGAAAAGAAGATAGAGAAGAGCACGCAAGAAACTGCTCCGCCACCTTGATGCATGTTCCTGATGTCATGTTTCATCATGGCAAATTTCTCGGGAACTACCAAAATCGTGGGCCATCATCACCTTTTCAGCCTAGGGGATGTAAATTGCAACTGCTACCTCTGCCACTCCACTTCAGGCGCACACGTGGCCCTCTAACTCTATCCCCTTAATGATGAAACTTTTGGTCTTCCATACTCTATATAAGTGATTTTCCTCCAGTATTGTCATTTTTCCCAACATTTTCAACTCTTAACAAGACTCTTGCGCTTTTCTTCCTCAAATTTCTCTGCTTCTTGAAAACTCTTTTAATAATTTCAACAATGGCTGATCATCAGAAGAAGAAGACGCAGCTTAAAGGGAAATCTTCTGCATCAGCTCTCCCACCTTTTTCTAACTTAAGCGGTCCTAAGGTAGTGAAAAATCAGCAGTTTGTTCACGAACCTTTGTCAGAAGAAAAGCGCCACATCTATGAATCGCAAGTAATCATCCCAGTTACTGTTGCAGGTAGACCCTTAGCAAAGTCTGGCCCATTTCCTCCTTTAGGTCTTGATTACTCTAGCATTAGAGACTTCTTTCCCTCCTACAGAGTCACCAAACCTTTAGGGCAAAAAGATTCTAGCAAAGCCCCCGCTGATGGTCCTTATAACATAACTCTTTTCGACGTAGACCTTAGGTATCTCCATGATGCAGCCAGACTATTTAGAGCCACCCCTTACTTCAAGGATTCTGAACTTTACCTCAACTGGTTGGAAAAAGTAGAAAAAGTGAAAGCCCGGGATTGGAAAGACACTGGCATTTACGACCTTATAATGATGTCGAAGGTAGGCCCTACCTATTGTCCCCTTATGCTGGCCTCTTCTTTGTTCTTCTGGGACAGCACCCATAACACTTTCCACCTTCCTTGTGGGATGATGACACCTACATTGTTTGATGTAGCTGCTATTGTGGGTCTAAAACCCCACAGCCTTGTTTATGACCCTGAAGTTGATAGCCAGGACACCATAGGATTTGCCAGCACAAAACATACTTATACAGCCTTCGTCCAACACTATCATAACAAAACCACCACTTCTGTCGAAAGTGAGGAACATATAGCCTTCCTGGCCATGTGGTTATCTCGCTGCGTGTTTTGTACAAAATCTCTGCAGGTGGCACGAAAATATCTTGTTTTGGCGAACCAGCTGCACTTGAAGAGAGGTATCTGCCTAAGCGAGATGATTTTGGCCAGCCTCTATGAAGCCTTGGGCGAAGGTGCTGCCAAATTCAAGGACCCTGAAAGTCATGGAAACTTACTGTTATTAGGCCCTTTCTGGCTGCTCCAATTGTGGCTTAATGCCACTTTTGAACATAACCTCCCCAACAAAGGCGAAGTCGACGAAAGTTCGTCTTCAGTTTCTGAGAGACGAGTCAAATGGCCCCGCTTGACCCAGCTCACTCCCAGCGAAGAAGGACACACTCTTCGAGCCAACCTATCCAACTTCATTCACATGTTCGCCAAACTGTACGAGTTTACTTCGAGGATGGCTCCTTTCGCAAAAAGAAGATGCGGCCCTGAGTGGTTCACCGGGTCCTTCCTGCTCCACTAAAGAAACAAGAAGAGGAATCGAAGCTAATTTGTGAATGATTCCTCATACCTCGACTGTTGGTTCATACACTAAACCTTGTCAGAGGTCAGGCAAGCTTAGTAGCCTACCAGCCAAACTTGGTGTCCAGGCAATTTGGGTTAATACAGACTTTGCCCAAGTGTTTATATGATAAGAAATCACACATCATCCTTCCCCTCGCGGTGCTTTCTCCCCTCGACTGTTCAACACAATTGGCGCGTCATGCCGATAAATCCCTTCTTATGCCTGTCCATTTTGAACCCACTTACTTCTGCTCCCCAGATTTTTACGACCGATGGTCAAAACATTAGAGTTTCTTGATGCTTCGAGCTTTACTCGCTTGATTGACCAAGCTTTCGTTGATGTGCAGGAGAAGATCAAGAAAGGTACGTCTACCCATATCAAAGAGATTCAAGCCTTCCAGAAGTACTTCGAAATTGTCTATCGACCAGATGATGTTAGTCGGACCATCCGCGAGGCTGCTGTTACTTTAAAGGAAAAAATTTCTTAAAAAATGGAAAATTTAAAGATTCCCTCATCTGTTCCTCGTGAGAAACGGTATGAGGTTGCCTTTAAACTCTTTCCCCCGAAAGTCCCTCGATTACCAACTGCTGGTTTTGGCGTGGCTCTTGCCCCTCCATTTCCAGATTGGTTCATCTGTGGAGACCCTATAAAGATCCTTCGACAGCAGTCGAAGCCCAAAGCGCAGCGGGTGGTTCTGACTAAACATACACTCGATACTTTTAAAGGGCACCTTCATGTTAGTACCGAAGATGTTCGCATCGAATCCGACATTCTTGAAAGTTCATCCCCCTTCGATTTGGACTCTTTTCCCTGAGCTTCATTGTTACTAACTAGTATTGGCATGATTTATTTTTTGCAGCTACTCCAAAACGAACTGCCCCAACACCAAAAACTGAAGGCAAGGTCGAAGACCAAAAGGTAATCTCCTGCAAGCCTATGTTATTTCGACTTCCTTAATTACTCTTAACACCCTATGTTGCTTCCAGGCTAGTCGAAAACCACCCACCCTACAAAAGAGGCTCAAAAGGGCTTCCGCTCAGATTATCATTGACTCAGATGATGAAGACGGATCTCCTCGCGAGAATGTTCAAATGAAAAGAAGGCGAAAAATCACCCATGACATGGATACTTCTGACGCTCCATCTGCTCCCCCTACAACCAACATACCCCAATCCAACACTCCCTCTCAAAATCTTACTAGATCTCCCGCGGAGGGTGCCTCTATCCCAATTGTTGTTCCTATGGAGAGTGACAACTCCAGCCCTGCTGATGAAAGTGCCAAGGTATGTTGTGCATCTAACTTTTCCTTTGGGTCTTGCACTGATTTTTTGGTCCTGCTCTCTTTGATGTCTGCTTTTCTTTCTAAGCTGATGTTGGGGTTCTGAAAACTGATCCAACCAAGCTTCCCTTATCACTCTATCCCTTGAACATCCAAGGTGAGCCTACTTACCATCCCACCTCTGATTTGGGTTCTGGTATGATCTCTCTTGGCGAGATTAATAAGCCTGATTTTTTCACAGTCCCTCCTTCGCCTGCAAAGACAATGACTCAACAGTCTCAAACTGATGGATCTGACCACGAAGAGAATAATACTTTGGTTAATCCCGTTGTAGCAGATGATGAAGTCAATACTTTGGAGGGGGACACAAACTTGGTCGACACGAATAGTTCTCCTTTGGATCAAACGATGGCTGTAGATAATGTCGTCGAAGACCAGGCCATGTGTCAGTCCGAATTAAACGAGTCCAGCGACAGAGGCACTGGAGA